AGGAACACATTATTAGTTTAACAACAAAGTGTGCACTGAAATCATATATTCGGGAAAGAAAAGCTTGATTTAATACGAATCCAATAAAATGTACTACATCTGTTTGTCATTTTTGTTTTAACTATTCATGATTGTAGAGAGCTTTATTTAAGAGTCGTTTTAGTCAAGTAGGATTTTTATTTATTTATTTGAATACATAAATATTGGTACAAGGGGGCACCAGATATATATATGCGCCACACAAAAAATTGTCATTTTATTTAATTGTGTGAAGGCTATGATACTGCCCGGGTGCCCAGACCGAAACAGGAGTCAAGTAGGACTATTTAAGTGTTTACAATAATAACAGAAAGGAAGAAAATGATGCTTTTATCTTCAAAAAAAATTTGTTCGCAACAATGAATTACATATTTCGTAACTGGATTTTGTTACAATTATTCAACTCGGATGCTAATCTTATATACTTGAGATCATGAGTCAACTGAAGCTAGACCACTATGGAAAACCTGGAAGAACTCAACGGCCCTTTCATCCTATTGTGGGACTCTTCAGTAGTGCTTCCAGATTTTCCGTGGTAGTCTAGCTTCATGATCTCAACTACATAAAATTACTAAAATCTCCCTAAAACCCCCCTTCTGATAAGATGTTAATCCTTGAACTTATCCAGTGGAAATAGATCATATATTTCACAAATCATGTTGATTATTTATTTACCTCGTTTATCAGATACAGAATTATGTACTTCACTTCAAACTATACTGTCAATATGATACTATGGTGTATGCTATTTATAAGTAGTATGCAACACCAATCAGAAGTGAAATGTCTGGCAGGAGAAATTTGAGAAGACCGATTTGAAGAGACCAGAAATGTTAACAGAGAGTAATTGTAATAACAACAGGAATGAAGGGATGATGAAGCTTGTAAGAAGATGTGAAAATGAAGTATTTAATGTATGACTTTCATATTTTAGGGAAACATTTTGTAATTTTGTGTAAAACAATAAATTGGTCTTTCCCACTCGACTTCTACGTTCACTACAACATTATCCGATTACCAGAACAGAAATAGCTAAAGGCAGGTTCGAACCTGAGACTATAAATGGTTGAAATTCGAAAGTGTTAAACATTGGGTTTCAAGAAAAAAATGTAATCCAACAAATATTTTTAAGCATCTTCACTGGTTACAACAGACAGTAGTGAAAATAACGAACGCAAAGTGGAAAAGAGTAAACTTAGTGTAAATAAATATAAGCCTAAATAATTTGCATTGAATTATACACGGATATTAATGGATGATAATTCAATAATGCAACACATAGTAGTTGAATATTGACCTGCTTTAACCACTGAGTCATAATAGTGTCAAACAGGAAAATTTCGTTAACTGTAAAAGTTGAATATTTAAACCGTCATACAATAGTGCAAATGAAGAGTTTAAGAGTAACGAGTGAGCGGTCTTTTACAATTACAACTCTAGCGATTAATCTCTAATGAATTAAAAATGAAATGTAAATATATGAATCTTGATCATCGATAAAGGTATACTTCACTGATGAATGATTTAAAAGGGCGGTTGTTGTGTGCGATTCATAACGTACTACTAGGCAACTTAACCAACGAATGAGTAAACATCTACCAGCATGGTTTGGAAAGGGCCAAATAAAAATAATACGCAGTTCTATCTTGGCACATCTAATTGATAGTGGTCATATTGTCGATAAATTGAAATCATTTCAAGTGATCTGTTGTATACCTCCATCGTTTCCCAACGGAGTTCGCTCCCGTCTACTTCATATAGCAGAAGCCATAGGAATTCGTACATTCCATCCCAATTTATGTGTACAGAAGAAATTCGTAACCCCCCTATCCCTTCCATGGCCGGACATAACTTAATAAATGACATTATTATTATTTGTAAAATTTTATTTTTATTATCTTGAAGTTAGACATTAACACCGTTGGATGCCGGCTCAGTGGTGTATCGGTTAAGGGCTTCGGCTCGAGACTGGTAGGTCCTGGGTTCGAGTCTCGCGAGTGCGGGATCGTGGACGCGCACTGCTGAGGAGTCCCATAATAGGACGAAACGGCCGTCCAGTGCTTCCAGGTTTCCGATGGTGGTCTAGCTTCAATTGACTCATGATTTCAACTGTGAAAATACTAAATTCTCCACAAAACCCCCTCTGATTTATCTTAATTTGGTTATCATTTTTTTGTAATTTTCTACCTCTTTCAGTTTGTATTCTTCACTATCTATTTACTTACATATTTCTTATTACGTAATGATTTTAATGTTTTGTGATTATTATTCTAGTCTATTTACCCACGTTTGACCTCTTAATTCTCAATGTTTAATTATTGATGAGAGTTTTGTTATCGTAATTTACTATTCTTACTACTATCAGTACACCTGTCTTCCCACTATCAACTTGTACTTTTAACTATTATTAGGCTTGGTAACGTATTTCTATTTCATTGTGATTATTATTGACTCAAATAGCCTTGATTTGTCTAACATTTTCATATAAATATTCATGTATATTAGAGTAAAGCCTGATGACGATCTAATTGAAAACAATTGTTCGCTTACATATGTTGTTCTAATTTTCATAACGTAGTGACAGAAAATTTAGTTTTGACCAAAACACAAGTAAAACTTACCGATATACTACTAAATAAGACGTTTAAAATTGATTATATGGGAAGAATAAAATATGGAAACCAAAATTCACGGTTTTCCATAGGTAGCTTAAAGGTCTTTGATAGATGAAATCAAAGAACTGTATAGGTATTTATCCGTATGGCTACAAAGCATTTTTCATTCAATTCATAAACATTACTTCAAACACTTAACCACTGTTGCTTATCTTAACTATAAATCTTGATCTTAATCTAAACTCCTAACTATTTCTTAAGGATTTTATGCGATGAAGTATTCACGTATAACTTATGTATTCTAATTAGCTAAAAATATATAACTTTCTCAAAGTTAAATTCACTTAGTATGGTTTGTTTGAATCTTCCCATTGATATTTAGGACTGAAACTGGTTAGTCTCTTATTGGCATATGTGCATACTATGCGTATTGTCTGGATATTGACTTAATTCACAAGCATTATAAGCGGAGTGAACATCAACTCTGAGATGCAGGTACATCCAGCCGACGAGTCCCAAATCGGACGGAACGCGTGTTCTGAATTCCACTGCTAGCCACTATTCATCTCTGCTTATAGTTTCTCAAAGTCATTTTAACAATTATTAAAGGTTACCAATAAACAATAATTTCACCCTTTATTCTTTCAATCATATAGATTATTAAATGTTCAACATAAACTTAGTAAAACATTCTAAACTTCTGTAGTTCAATTTTCCCAGTCTGTATTAGCTTAGTGTGTGTTCAAATTTACATGACTTCGCTTTTGGTAACTATCTATCTACATTGAACTGTTAGTTATATATCTATTGTTTTACAAATACTAACATTCTTTTATTTAAAATGGATTGTAGTTAACAGAAGAATTCTAGACATTCATTCCGTACTATATGGGGAACTTATCAGCTGAATCCACTTGTATGTGTTAATATTCTGCTAAAATCTACGTGCAAATATAAATGAATGTCTAGACATTTTAACAGATAATAACCATTTTAAAGTTTGAATGAACATAAAATCCATAAATTGTTTCTTTTCTATGGTACAGTGTTTATTTTATTTATTTATTTAAACACATAAATATTAGTACAAGGAAGCACCAGATACACATGCGCCACACAAATCGAAGGAGATTTGTGTGAGGGCCGTGATATTGCCCGGGTGCCCAAACTGAAGCAAGTGGTTTTCTTAAGGGGCCACACCCAGAGCCTTTGACTTGAAGGTCTAATCCAAAAAGAAGTGGAGCATCGTAAGGAGATGCGATCTCATGGTAGCCGGTGACCAACGATTGATTCATAAACCATTTTCTCCCTAAGGATACTGGAGCCAGCCCATGTGCACCATTGGTTTGGAATCAGGGTTTTCCAACTGCCCTAGGTGGACTTTCCGTGTCCATCAACCCGGTTAAATCGCCGGACATTCGCTTTTCGTCCTCTCAAGTTTATAAACAACACCCCCGCTACGAGAAAGCAATGAGTAGGACTTCCCTGGCAGAGGCTATATACGCGTGTCCATGTGAGAGCATTTCGAGAGGGAGAGTGGACTCTCCCCACTCTTGGTCGTACCAGCAGATTGGGGGATTTTTATTCGCCAAGATACGAACTCGGGCTGCCGGAATCAGTGATATAAAAAAATTGTAATGCTACATATGCTCCAATAAAAGTTACGTATACAATCCGATAGTCATGTGTAATTTTGAGATGTTATACTATTGAGTCATACATACTAAGTAGGTAATTGTTATTACAAAGAAAGAAAAGACTCCGTAGTTGAAACATCAAGATGAATGCTTACGACATTTAGGTAATTAGGTAACAACAGTATTAGAACAAAGGGTAATAGTTTGACTAAAGAAATTTCGTCTGTGTTCAGGAATTAGTATTTCAGTTCGAGCTACATAAAAAATTTTAGGGATTACGTCAATCTGCTTAATTTATAAAAAAAATTCCATAATTCCTTAGCCAAAACAGATTAAACAAACAGTACAATTCATCACTATTATTAAATAAACTACCATTTTAAGCAGAGTTGAATAGTAAGTAACAATGGAAGCCAAGATATGCAGTTCGTCCTATTGGGGACTCGTCTGAAATCCTCACAAGATGTCCTATCGTCAAGAGAGTGATCACTTGGAGAGCTTAACATCAACAACGGGAATATTGAAATAACTAAAATAAATGAATTCAACTCATGTTTTTGTTATTTCAATGCAAACAAATTCTTTGATGATATCGCTCATTCAATCATTAAAATCAATCAGGCAATAAAAATAATTTATTATTTGATTATTTTCATGAAAGAAAATCGGCAAAACGATAAGGGAGTAGGGGGGGGAGGGACAAACTTACTTTCCGAGATTTTTTCTTGTATACAACTGCTTTTTTAGTTTCCTGTCGAGCCTCAGCAACATAATCCTGTGTTTGTTTAACGTTGACATCGATTCGATCAACGAGTTCACCCTAAGACATCAATTAATTTGGGTAGAAAATAAGTGGTAACCAACTATATATGTAAATAGTTATTTACGTATACTACATAACTGAAATTTTAATATAGTTCCAAAAATTGCGTTAAAACAGGTTACTTATTGCTAGAGAACAATATAAAAATATGGGTAATTATAGTCTTTGGATTGTGGTTGGTAGTGGAATTATGAATGTTATAACAACGTGAAAATGAAAACACTTACTAGTCAGTAAATACCAGGTTAATAGTTTACTATAACTGGAGTCAGTATGTTAGTAGGCAATCTGTTGGGTACTGAATAATAAATACTGCGTTGAAGTTCCAGGGTAAACATTCAAACAAATGTACATCTAAGTGACGATTATTAAACAGGAGGGAATTGGTGTCCTAGATTCAACTGTTATTCATGATTCAGATATACAAAAATCTCATACACAAAAACCAAGACCGAAACATCCACTCAGATATATGTAACAATATATGTAACAACAACAAATTACTAATACATAAGAGTATCGTTTAGATGGAATGCTGACCAATTTGTAGTTTTTTAATGCGTATTAACTATAGTTAGCTATTCGTTCAAATTTCTGTGACTAAACATCAAAGTTACCAGTGACGACATTGTGGTACGTCTTACTGGTTGAACGCTATATTCAGATCCTAAGCTAGTCTTCAACCCCCAAGCTAGAACTACACAGAGACTTGAACACGAGAGAAAAGGCACAAAATATGTGGGAAGCACTTTACTTCAAAGGTTCGTTTTGTACAGAAAATATAGGGTTTTTATAGTATTTTAGAAGTCCTTGGGTTTTCCTGAAAATTCTAGAATACTGCTAAACATAGTAGCAATGTATTAATCAGCCAATCAGAATCTCTACATGTGACTTTTCATTTTCGCTGTTTCTAACATAACTTCTAATCAAACGCTGATTGGATAAAATGCTCCTTAATTTTTCATGAGCTTGTCATGTCGATTGAGAGAAATTTGCAGAATCATCCCAACACATTGTTACTTGTATATCATTATTGGAACATATTTAACGCATTTTCAAAAGAACTCTTAATTGTGTTACCTGGACTGACAACAGTGAGTTAGAAAATGGAAGTTACAAAATCATATCCACAACACTGTTTTAACTAAATCATTTGAGGAGGTTTGTAATTGAACGAAACATTCTACTAACACAACATAATTCGTGTTCGCTGAGCCGACGAGAATTTTCATAAAAGACCAATAAGTTTTCGTAGTTTTTCACACAACGACACATTTTGACAAAAATTCTCGATCGATATAAACAAATATTAAATTCAAGTCAATGTATAAAGCTACAATTGGACAGTGATAAAATATGCCTATATTGCAAAACTTGGCAAACAGTAAATAATCACGACAAACTTTGAAAGGTATAAATTATTTTATCATTTGTGACTTTCGCCAAATTTTCTTTTCTTCACAATCAGCTGGTAGGGTCCGTGATAAGCGTTGTTTATCCTGACTCGAATATTTCGAGATGCAGTCCCATAATAGCCGATGACCAGCGATTGGTTCATACGCCATTTTTTCCTTTAGGATAATGGATCACATATGCACCATTGGTTAGGTATTCCAATTCCCTTACATGGATCCTCCATATCCACCGACCCGGTTAAATCGCCGGACATTCACTTTTCATCCTCTCAATTTCGTAGGAAACCCTCACGCTATGAGAAGGTAGTGATTGGAACTTCGCTGGCAGTGGCTGTATACGCGTAGCCATGAGGAAGCATCTGGAGAGGAAAAGTGGACTCTCACAACCCTCGGTCGTGCCAGGGTATATGGGGGCTTGGAATCCCCTTAATTCACTACATAGATTTAATCCATATTTAAATTAATAGAAACCAGAGTGAAGTGATTGAGAAATAATACTCATTAAGACAAGTGACAAGCATTATTATCTCAAAGCAAAATTCTGAAAATCTATCAAGTAGTCATTGAAGAACTACTACAACCATCATCAAAAAATTGCAGGTGTTTATAAACAACTGTTCACTGAAGATACCGAATGTCTGTTGGCCGGATACCAACAGCGACAACCTACTGTTCGGGAGAACAAGCCGACTTCCAGATGAGGAGGAAATTAGGAAAAGATAATGTAAGCGGATAGGACATATATTACAGAAATCATCAAACTGCATCACGAAGCAAGCGCTAACTTGGTATTCTGAAGGGAAACGGAAGAGAGGAACACCAAAGAACACACTGCGTCAAAAATTAGAAGCAGACATGAAAATGGTCAATAGCAACTGGAAAAGATTGTCCAGGACGGAGTTCGATGGAGAATCCCGGTGGGCGATGTATGCTTCTCCACGAGGAGTAACAGGTGTAAGTAAGTCATTGACTGAAGTTGATGCTTTTATTTTGTGTAATATCAAAGTAAATAGAGAAAAAAACTAATTCAGAGAATATCGATATCACAATTTTAAGTTAAAATGAATTCTTATTACATTTTAAAATCTAATAAACTTGAGTTTTAAGTTAAACTCATTTGCTAACGAGACAAATAAACAAAAGGTGGACACATTTAATATACAATCAACAAACTTGTGTTTCAATCAATGCAGCCATATCGGTAAATAAACCGTGTAATTCTCGAATACTCTTTTCTAATTTCATTATATCTTCATGACGTGCTTCAATATCGGCTAGATTTTGACGTGCTTGTTGAGTATCTGTTATAATCTAAATAAATAATGAAAATAGGAAAACAAATCTAGTGAATCTGTAACTATTTTTCTATTAAAAACAATATATGATAAGTGAATAAGCACATGTACACAGGAAAAAAGAATCGATACGGCTTGTGAGAATATGAACACAACCATTACAAAAGGGTATTGAAGAAAATGTTCACAACAATGAAGCTGAATATTGTATTTTGCAACCGTTCAATAATTAAAGCTGAAAACAAAGACAGATCCACTGAATTTGAAGCATTTATGTGTGTTTATCAACTCATTTAGATTTTATAAAGCCAATTATATGGATAGCATACTTTAGCAAGTTTGTTATCTTATCTCCAAAACATAATCTGGTTTGGTTGAACAAAGGGAACAAACGAAAGACAACAGTAAGAGCTCTATTACCTTTTTGAATTGAACCAATGCAAGATGGTTTGAATAAAGCTTCATAATTTGTCTACTGTGTTCCATTATATATATACCCCAAGGTCTATGTGTCCGTTATTTGGATCCTGTAGAGGCTGTCACCATTCATATCCACAAACCAGATGTTTGCGTTCAATAGAAATGTGTACAGCCCCGTTACATTCATTAGTCATCGACAAAAGCGGATCAAAACAGAATTTCTACTATTTCCTTCTACATATCTTGTACATTTTGTATTATTGTGCAATGCAGCACGGATACAGAAGGCTCGTCTAGCTTTCGCCAACTTGCGCCATTTATGGCGTAGGCGAGATATCCGTCTAGCACCAAAAGGACGGGTTTACTGTACAGCAGTCCGTTTCGTCCTACTTTATGGCAGCGAAACATGGCCGGTAAGAGTAGAGGATATTCGTAGGCCTCTAGTATTCGATCATAAGTGTCTTCGAAGCATTGCTCGTATATCCTGGGACCACCGAGTAAGTGATGCGATCGTTAGGAAACGGGTACTAGGTAAGGATGGCAAATCGATTGATGAAGTAGTGAAGCTTCATCAGTTGAGATGGCTTGGACACGTGTTACGTATGCCCAACCACCGACTGCCCCGACGTCCAATGCTTTATGGTGTAGGAGTAGGTTGGAAGAAAGCTAGGGGCGGCCAGACCAAAACATGGCACAAATACATGAAGTCACTGACAATTGGACTGAGCCATGTTGGTAGGTGTAGATTACCTGGTTGGGATTCGCGAGATGATAGCAACCGATGGTTAGAGACCTTGAATGACATGGGTCAAAATCGTTTGTAATGGCGAAGGTGCATCTACTACTCTGTGTTCTACCAAATTCTAACTTTTTGAATTCTTCATGTCCCTATCCTTTTTCTCTTTTCAATTTTTTCCCCTAGATTGTACTCCTTCAATAACATCTTCAACCCCTAATCTTTCCAATTACTGCTTATACTCTTACTACTTCTACCACTATGGGATTTGAATCGACAACTTCATTTCTGTGTTAATGTGGTATGGCAACTCAAACTGATGTAATTACGTACAAGGTTCTACGTTGTAACTGACGGACTGATTGTGCAATGATAATATTCGCCTCCTTTCTCCTACGTAACGGTTGTTGTTATTATTTCGTATGTTATGAAAAATATTTTGTCAATACTGTCACAAGATAGTGTGTAATCTGTTGACAGTTGAACTACATGTCAGGATTCATTTTAAAATGTTTACACTATCAAACGTGTTTTCACTATTTGATGATGAATCAATCGACTTCGTTTTCATAATCAGTTGTCGAAGTTGTGATATTATTATGGAACCCCGACCGTTGCTGCTACCTTGACGTGGTGGTCGGGCTTGCCTATCGTGATGATCCAATCGAGCTATGCTGGCTGGAACAATCGTTCCTCGAGGTCCTACCATGCCAGACAGGTCGATTGAAGAGCGGTGAGACTAAAAGCAGCAAACCCAAGGTCCGAAGGCGAAGTCGTACTGCTGACTGTACAGAGGTGTGAAAGCAGTAAGGTGTTTCCTTCAGACAACCAGCATGACAGCGATGCTGCCTTCCCACAAGGAGGGGTGGGGTTAGAAAAGGTCGACCCTAAAAATGCACACCTCGCCTTATCCCACGGATATCCGTCTCCGGCGGTAAGGTTTTTTTTTTGAAGAACGGAGCTAACACAAAAACTACCCACAAAAAGGTCGTGTGTGACCGACCTCAAGCAGTTGTCCCTTGGGCACTGCGGTCACGCTCTCCGGTCATTAAGACCACTTCTAACCCAATTCCCTTTTCAGGTACCTCTAGAAGAATCCTTCCACGGTGTGGGCAACCGGGAAGTGATAACTGCCCTCATACCTCTAACAACACTCAAGACCACTGTATTCATAATCAATCTCCTTCTTCAATTCCTACTACCTTGACTTTCAACACTAAACTTCCTCTCTCGGTTTCCTCCTCAAGTGTCACCATGGCCAACGATTCTAGTGCGCGAAACGCTGTCCCAGGTCTACTAAAACCTCGCTCCAAACTACACATTGGAGCCTTCAACGTACGTACTTTAAGTCAAATCGGTCAACAGGCCTCCTTAGCTAAAACCTTAGAGTCGCGTACCATTGATGTATGCTGTGTCTCCGAAACACGCATACAGGATCCTAGTGTGGTCATTCACTTGACCTCACCTCGCCAAAATGGACAGCCAACGAAATACACCCTCCGTGTATCTGGCGACCCGTTGGCTAGTTCTCGTGGACTTGCAGGTGTAGGTATAGCACTAAGTACAAGGGCAGAACAGGCACTATTAGAATGGATCCCCGTTAACAGTCGCCTGTGTGCTGTCCGGCTAAATGGCTCCGTAAGAACTCGGAAGGATAGGGACACACGTCGTTGCCTTTTCGTCGTTTCTGCCTACGCTCCCACTGACTGCAGCCATGATGAGGTGAAAGATGACTTTTACAGAAAGCTCTCTGAGCTTCTTCAGAAAGCTAAGCGCTCAGACATAGTAGTCGTAGCGGGTGACTTTAATGCCCAGGTAGGCAGCTTAAATCAAACAGAAAGACATCTAGGTGGGTGTTTTAGTATTCCGGCTCAACGAACCGATAATGGTGATCGTCTGTTGCAACTATGCTCAGACAATCGTTTATTTTTGGCAAGCACTAATTTTAAACATAAGGAGAGACATCGTCTAACATGGCGACCACCTGCACCAAACCAACGATGGACTCAAATAGACCATATTGTCATCAGTCATCGTTGGAGACGCTCAATAGAAGATTGTCGCTCGTATTGGAATACTTGTTTAGACTCTGATCACGCTTTAATACGAGCACGCATTTGTCTGCGCCTCAATGGACGCAGGAAAAGTAAACTAAGAAGACCCGTTAGGATTGAACTGGAGGACGAGAAAGCCAAATGTGAATTCCAGAGACAACTGAGTTCACATCTAGGCAGTTCTGTAAACGAGACTGACCCAGATGCTGCTTGGAAAGGCATACGAACAGCTGTGGAGACAGCAGTAACATCTATTAGTCATTTAAACCATAGGGCTCCAAAAAACCAGTGGATTTCTTCTAAGTCTATTTCACTGATGGATTCGCGTAAACTCATACCATCAGGCTCTGAACATGACGAAGAGCGTAAACAAATTAGATCTAGGTTAACTAAAAGTCTAAGGAACGATCGTGAGCAGTGGTGGGCAACGAAAGCAAAAGAGATGGAAAAGGCAGCGGCTGTAGGCAACACCAGGCAACTATTCAGACTAATAAAAGAAACTGGAATTAAGAAGTCAAGTGTAAGTGAGACGATCTCGGAAAAAGATGGAACCCTTATCTGCTCTCTACCCAAACGTTTAGAACGATGGGCGGAACACTTTAAGGAGCAGTTTAGCTGGCCTTCAGCTACTGCACAACTACCCACTATTCCCAGAAAACCTGAATGGAACATTGAAGTAGGCCCCCCGACCCTACTTGAAGTTCAAAAGGCTATAGGTAATCTGAAACGAGGAAGAGCAGCTGGTCCAGATGGATTGGCTCCAGAGGTCTTTAAATATGGTGGTCCAATTTTAGCGATTAGGTTGACTAATATTCTGGCTAAAATCTGGGAGACGGATGTAATCCCATCCGACTGGTCACAATCACTGATTGTCCCAATATATAAAAAGGGGTCAAAATCATCCTGCGATAACCATAGAGGGATTAGTCTGACTAACATAGTATCTAAAATACTAGCCTCAATAATTATCACGCGCCTAACTAAAACTCGTGAACTGCAAACACGAGAAAATCAGGCTGGCTTCAGACCTGGTCGTGGCTGTATCGACCACATATTCACCATTCGTCAAGTTTTAGAGCACAGACATGCTTATCGGCGTCCGACAATGATAGTTTTTCTTGACTTGAAAGCAGCATTTGACTCTGTAGACCGAGAGGTTCTGTGGCAGTGTCTGTCATTGAAAGGTGTACCTGAGAAGTACATAAACCTTGTGAAGGCTCTTTACTCGAACACTATCAGTCGAGTGAGAGCTTATGGCGAACTGTCATATTATTTTACAACCTCAAGTGGTGTCCGTCAAGGCTGTCCACTATCCCCCTTTTTGTTTAACTTCATTATAGACCTGTTGCTACAAATGACACTCTCGTCGACTGAGTTTACAGGAATTGATCTCCTACCAGGGGGACCACTAAGCGACTTAGAATACGCAGATGACATAGTCTTGTTAGGTGAAGACACTGACAAAATGCAGAGTCTTCTGTTGGAACTCAGTAATAATGCCAGGATGTTTGGGATGCGTTTCTCTCCATCCAAATGTAAATTGTTACTCCAGGACTGGCCTGCGTCAACACCTGAACTAAGGATAGGGAGTGAAGTAGTCGAACGCGTGGACAACTTCACTTATCTTGGAAGTCTGATCAGCCCTAATGGGTTGGTGTCTGACGAAATCTCAGCACGGATTCGAAAAGCTCGTTTGGCTTTTGCTAACTTACGTCACCTATGGTGATGGCGAGATATCCGTCTATCACACCGATTACCACGACGCGCTATGATGACTAGTATTGGGGACGGTCGGAAGAGAGTTAGGGGCGGCCAAACCAAAACATGGCATCAGTGTTTGAAGTCACTAACTTCTAGCCTGAGCCATGTTGGCAGATGCAGACTACCTGGTTGGGGTCCGCGTGACTATCGTAATAAATGGTTGGAGACTCTAGGTGACATGGCTCAGAATCGATCACAATGGCGTAGGTGTATACACTCTTTATCTTCCCTTAAACCTTGAGATTAAAATTGCTTCATAACTTTTTTTCTTCCTATACTATATCCTTCTATACAATCTTTCTTTATATACTACCTCCAGTAAATTAATTGCTTCTATGAATCCGGTGTTCATCTTGATGTGCTAAAGAGGTATGGCAACTTGGACCGATGCATATATGTGCCTGGTCCTACGTTGTAGCTAACTAACAAAAACAAAATTATGGAACAATCCTAAGTGAGTGGGTTTTACACTATTAAAGTGAAGTATATGAATTACTTACAATAGGTCTATATATACTATTCAGTTTTATAGCTTATATCACGGACTGATACTATATTAACATCCACTGAAGACCGAGCAGCACTCGGTAACTGTTTTGTCCCAGTATAGGACTCTTCAGAAGTTTTCATTCACGATGGTTGTGCGAAATAACGGATTGATTGAAGTAGGAAATATAAACCAGTGGATGTTGGCCAGAGGTTAAGCGCTTACAGAAAGACATGTAAGTTCTGGCTTCGGTCCGCACTTAGTCGTGGATGAATACTGCTGAGCAGTTCTATAGTCGAACGAAAGAGGTGCTCAATATCTCCTGCTTCTCAATGGTTGTTTAACTAAGATCATTCCGCAAAATCGAGCATAAATAACTGTAAAGTCATGACGAAAAACTAACTGTAAAATTACATTTCGAACGAAGAAATACTGCTTTTTGATTAGATCCTTGCAAAAGCTCTACACTAATATATATTTTGCTTTTCGTTTAAAATGTAATTGATAATAAGAATTTAATTCCCCGTACTATACAACACAACTCCGCCTGTAGATCTTCTAGAGTTACTGCCGGTCCCAAGCCCGGGTAAAGTAAGCACAATATTCCCACACAAGCGCATAAACAAAGCTACATGGATCTCACCAGACCAAACCACAGAGAACAAGATAGATCACATCTGTATCAACAAAAATTTCCGAAGATCAATGGAAGATGTGAGAACCCGGAGAGGAGCTGACATAGCTTCAGATCACCACCTGGTTGTGGCCAAGATGAGACTGAAGCTAAAGAAACACTGGACAACTGGACAAACAACACTACAAAGGTTCAATACAGCCTTCCTTCGAGATATTGGCAAGCTCAATGAATTCAAAATAACTCTCAAAAACAGGTTCCAAGCTCTGCAGGACCTACTGAATGAACAAGAAACTACTTTGGAGAACAACTGGAAAGGGATAAAAGAAGCACTAACTTCAACATATCAGGAGGTTCTTGGTCATAAGAAACTTCATCACAAGGAATGGATCTCTATGGGAACCCTGGACAAAATTCAAGAAAGGAAGAACAAGAAACTAGCAATTAACAACAGCCGAACACGAGCAGAGAAAGTCAAAGCACAAGCAGACTACGCAGAAGCAAACAGGGAAGTGAAGAAAAGCATTAAAGCCGACAAGCAGAAATACATGGGAGAACTAGCAACAACGGCGGAAAAGCTGCAAGAGAAGGGAATATGAAAGAACTATATGATACAACGAAGAAATTAGCAGGGAGATATAGCAAACCAGAGAGACCAGTCAAGGACAAAGAAGGAAATACAATCACTGAGATTCAAGAACAGAGGAAAAGATGAGCAGAATACTTCGAGGAACTGCTGAATAGACCAGTCCCATTGAATCCACCAAACATCGAAGCAGCCCACACTAACCTTCCAATAGACGTCACTCCACCAACGATCGAAGAAGTCAAGATGGCCATCAGACAAATCAAAAGTGGGAAGGCGGTAGGACGTGACAATATACCAGCAGAAGCACTGAAGTCAGACATTGAGATAACTGCAAACATGCTTCACCTTCTATTCAAGAAGATTTGGGAAGAGGAACAAGTGCCAATGGACTGGGAAGAAGGATATCTCATCAAGATACCAAAGAAAGGAGATCTGAGCTAATGTGAGAACTACAGAGGCATCAGTTTGTTATCAATACCAGGAAAAGTTTTCAACAGAGTGCTGCTGAATCGGGTGAAAGACGCAGTAGACGCCGAACTTAGGGATCAATAGGCTGGATTCCGTAAGGATCGGTCGTGCATAGACCAGATTGCGACACTACGGATCATCGTTGAAAAATCAGTTGAGTGGAACTCATCACTATACGTCAACTTCATTGACTATGAGAAGGCGTTTGACAGCGTGGACAGGAGAACATTACGGAAACTTCTTCGACACTATGGAGTTCCTGAAAAGATTGTCAACATTATCCAAAACTCATACGATGGACTACAGTGCAAAGTGGTGCATGGAGGACAGCTGACAGATGCATTTCCAGTAAGAACCGGAGTCAGACAAGGCTGTCTACTCTCCCCATTCCTCTTCCTTCTAGTGATTGACTGGATTATGAAGAATTCGACATCTGAAGAGAAATACGGAATACAATGGACAGCTCAGAATCAATTAGATGATTTGGACTTCGCAGATGACCTAGCCCTCCTCTCTCATACACACGAACAAATGCAGATGAAGACAGCAAATGTAGCAGCAGCCTCCGCATCGATAGGCCTCCACATTTACAAAGGAAAAGGCAAGATTCTCATCAAATGCAACACGAAGAACACCAACCCAATCACACTTGATGGCGAAACTCTGGAAGAGGTGGAAACATTCAAGTACCTGGGGAGCATCGTTGATAAACAAGGAGGATCGGATGCAGATGTAAAGGCGAGGATTGGCAAAGCAAGAGCAGCATTTCTACAATTGAAGAACATATGGAACTCAAAACAACTCTCAACCAATTTCAAGGTCAGAATCTTTAATACGAACGTCAAGACAGTCCTACTGTATGGAGCTGAAATGTGGAGAACTACTACGACCATCATCAGGAAGGTACAAGTATTTATAAATAGTTGTCTACGCAAAATACTCAACATCCATTGCCCGGATACCATCAGCAACAGCGTTTTATGGGAGAGGACAAACCAGCTTCCAGCTGAAGAGGAAATTAGGAAAAGACGTTGGAAGTGGATCGGACATACATTGAGGAAATCACCAATGTGCATCACGACTCAATCCCTAACTTGGAATCCGGAAGGGAAGCGGAAAAGAGGAAGGCCAAAGAACACACTACGCCGAGAAATAGAAGCCGATATGAAAAGGATGAATAGCAACTGGAAAGAACTGGAAAGGAAGGCTCAGGACAGAGTTGGATGGAGAATGCTGGTGAGCGGCCTATGCTCCTCCACAAGGGGTAACAGGCGTAAGTAAGTAAGTAAGTACTATACAACACAAACATACAGAAGATAGCTGATGATACCATAGTATATATATATATATATATATATATATATATATACCCATAGGAAAACAAAACAGCATTCATGAAAATAAAAGAATGTCATAGTAACCAGTCAAACAATTGTTATTATATTTTCTGATCAAATAATCTGCCATATTTTAATCATTTAGTCAAACCAGGAAGTGTTAGTCTCAAACTAACCAACTATTATTTATTGTTTTTTCCTAGAATAGATGGATGTTTGGCTGGTAGTGGGATTCTGGATATGTGTTTCGTCCTATTCAGAACTCGTTGACTGAAATTACTTGCATAACAGTGTTGAGACTTGAAAACAGTAACCTTCCGCTAAATAACGTCAATTTAATGTACGAATAGATATGAGGTGATAGTGATTACTGAAAGTTGAGTTTTTCACAGTTAGTAATTAACTAAATGAGTGACTAGGCATGTATAAATGACTGATATGGTTCTCCCAGATAATTTGACGGATGATTAAGTTCGATCAAGTATCTAAGATAATATGGAATCAAGTTTTTATACTTCACTCACATTATTAGAGATTTATAGTAGATTTTAATTACAACTCGTGCTGAAATACCATTCAACTACGTGGAGACAGGTTCATAGAATTAATTGAAAGTAGGGTTAAAAAAGCCGACAGTTTTACCAAGTATTTATGTATTTGGTTTTAATCCAAATAAGTTATACGACCATTAGTGATACTAAGAGGTCTCACAAAAACTGAATTAGATGAAAAAGGATTGGAATAAGCCAATTATTGGTTGAGAGGATTGATAAGGTTAATTTTAGTGTGACCTAAGATGATGGTTTGCTGAAGTTCAAACTTGAAACCTACTAGTTGACGTTCACTGGCTAAACTACAACATTACCACTATACAACATTATTATTTATCACAATTTATAAATATAAGTATGCTTAACAAGATAAAACAGATAATAGAGATGTAGCTAGATTATTAGTGAAGTGATAGATTAGTATGGTTAGAGTACTTTACCTATTATAAACTTTTAAGTGTTCTATAAAGAAAAAATGATATACATAATCCAGAAAAGTACTTACTCCTTGAGTAAAAATCTGTGGATTTCCAGATTCAAGCATATTTTCTAGTTCATTATCTGTAACTGATCGTTGAGCTATTGAAAAAGGTGATAAAAAAACACAATTGCATTATTCTAACCTTTAAAAAAAATTAAAACATAGTGAGGGGGACTTCCTAAAGTTTTACAAAATCTTATTATTATAGTCATACTCATTATACTCATCATATATATATATATATATATATATATTACTGCCATTGAAGTAACTCCTTCTATTAATTTGGTGTTCTTCTTGTTGTGCTAATGAAGTGTGGCAACTTGTACCGATGAATATATGTGCCTGGTCCTACGTTGTAGACGACTGACTACAATAATAATGATAATAGTAATCATAATATTAATTAGAACTTACCCAGATTAATAAGTTTTATACTTAATACTTTCAAAGTCAAACTTTGATTTTATTTCATGTGAATAACTTGAAAAAAACCCTCTGAATTTGGACTTGATTTTGATTATTTTCACAATTTCAAAAAAAACCCAGTTACTTGTTAATCACTTCTTTATGAGAAGGGGGTTTTTGTGGAGATTTAGTATTTTCATAGTTGAAAGCATGAGTAAATTGAAGCTAGACCACCAGAGAAAATCTGGAAGCACTGGACGGCCTGGGTTCGAATCTCGCGAGGCGAGGTCGTGGATGTGCACTGCTGAAGAGTCAAACAATAGGACGAAACTTCCGTCCAGTGCTTCCAGATTTCTCCTGATGGTCTAGCTTCAATTGACTCACGCTTTCAACTATGAAAATCACTTCTTTACCTACTATTAACACTCTAGATTGAGTAGTACCATCAATTCACTCTCTTTAATAATCACTTTTAGATAATTATAACGTTTTAGAACTAAATGAATACATAAATATATAAAGTTGAAAGGATAGTTTGATGTTAATCAATCATAATACAAGAAGTAGTACTGAATCATTTACATATACATAAATGATCATTAAACATATCTATTGTGAATACTAATCATGTGATACTATCTTTAATTGTGTAAGTGTTACTATGTTGATGTTATTGATCAATCACTTAATATTGACTTTCATTAGAATGTTACCATTTCATCAAAAAACCATTTGTGACAAAAAGAAAACAAAAGTTTTATAATCAAAACAACAAATAAATACCGAAAATATTGTTTATAGAAAGTTGTTACCATGAAATTAAGTATAATTTGGTTTGTTTTGATATGACATTAAGAAATAATTTCTATGAGAAACAAAATGCACCTAATTCGAAAACACCAAATTAAACAAATGTGGTGTTACTGTAAACAACATAATACACACCATTTGTAAATAATAGTTAAAAACAAACAAACATTACGTTTCGATAACATACTAGTTATGTCAGTGAATGTAAAGAATAAGCGAGGAGGTTAGACGACTTTTCAAATAACCCTGAGAAGTGTTTAATTCCATTTAGTTAATCAGAAGACAGTAGATGTAAATGAATGAGTCAATTGAATCTAGACCACCAGGAAAAACCTGGAAGCACTGGATGGCCACTTCGTCCAATTGTGGGACTCCTCAGCAGTGCGCATCCACGATCCAGCACTAGCGAGATTTGAACCCAGGACCTACCAGCTTTGCGCCGGAGCACTTAACCGATAGACCACTGAGCCGGCATCCGATGGTGTTTATGTCTAACTACAAACAATCCACGAAGTTGAGCAACCGCTCACCAATTGTCTTCAATTGACTCACGCTTTTAACTATGAAAATATTAAATCTCCACAAAAACTCCTTCTGGTAAATGAATGATTTTATCATGCAAAGGGAAGGAATCTAAAGCGAATGTATTAATTTTACATCATTAGTAAATTAACTGTACGATAATGTGTCAGGAAATTAGAATACATTCAGTATTGACATTCATCCACATCACTTCAAGACAACAACCTTTAGAATAGGCTCCGCAACCACCAAACTGGCATTCCATAGTGTTGAAGTCCGACTTCAACCTATCTATGACATTCTGTGACCATCTTTCACTCTCTTTAGTGGTCAACTTTCTCACACCCGACGCACTTTAGCTCTACCCCATAGTGACAATTATCATGTGCACACTAGCGACTATCTTCGAGAGGAAATCTCTGGAGTTCTAGTGAAAACCAGTGACCAGCTGAGTTAATTCGTGTCGATTATGAAGTAGTTAAGCACCGAAGACAATGAATGATGGTCGTGAAATGTAATGAATTGACTGAAGTTAGACATTAAAACCATTGGATGCCGGTTCAGTGGTTTGGAAGTTGTGTCCGCGCATGAAACCAAAAGCCTTGGGTGCGGTTCCCTATGAGGGGGGTCGTGCATGCACACTGCTGAGGAGTTATGCACCAAGGCGAAATAGCCGTTTAATGATTTATGGCTCTTGATGGTGGTTCAACTTATATCGGTTCATGATTTCAATGAGATTCAACAATCTCTACAACACCCGAGATGCGTATCTCACCCTTTACGCAAAAAAAAATGTAAAATATCTGCGTTGTTTTCTATCAGTCGGTATAAATAAATATTTATACCTGGAAAATGTTGACATTGAATACACAAAACGTGTATTTGAAGGCAATGATAAGTTAAGAATAATATTATCGGTTTATTTATACATCACGTATAAATATAACAAGCTCACCAACTTCTAATTGACGTTTCAATAAAGCTTTACAACGTTCTTTATGCTCAACCTGTATACGACCATATTGATGCATAATGGTTGTGATAGTTTTAGATAAAGTGAGGAACTGAATGAGACATGAAAAAGGTTAAAAGAGAAAAGAAGAATGTTATACAACATAGACAATTAAATGATGGTTAAATAAGCTGAAACATAAAATGACAAAACGATCATTTAAAAAGATTAAGGTAAACAACAACAACAAAATGTTTGTTAGTATTTAAGGTTTTTTCAAATTCAGTTTAATATCAATCATGAGAGTGTTGTAGTAACAATAACTGAGATACTACTTAATATAGTAGTTATCAATAGTTAATATGTCCTATAAACATCATCCAACATAAACGTACATCCAGAAAAAGCTAATAACAAGATATCACCCACGTAAAAAATATACATTAGCCTTATGAACAATACATTTACATGAATGAGAAGCTGTTAAGTGTGTAATTAAGTAGAAGGCTAGAAAACAGACTTATTTAGGTTTATATGATTGTGATAATGAATAACAAATTAGTGATTTATATCAATAGATAAGAAAGTTGAATTTGTTTTATGATATCTACCATTAAATGATTTAAGGGATTTCTAAAACTTGATACGAGCAAGGTACATGATCATGAAATACTCTTATCAGATCAAATAATCGAGAAGAATATGCGGATGATGTGAACATTTTATAGCATACATTGACTAAACCATTGAAAACTAAGAAGTAGTGGGCAGCTATTTCATCCTAGTATAATAAACATTATGAAACTCAACAATCTCTATAAAGCTGTAAACCAATAATAATCATTTACACATTTCTTAGGCAATCCCTAGAGTTCTATTCACAAACTTTGACCGGTAGAGTTCAACTGAATTCGATACTAGGCATTTATTCATTAACAGCATGATTACGAATAGCGTAAATTGATTGAGGTTAGAAGTATCAACAATAGTCGAAAGGTTAAGAGCTCATAATTACACCTGAAAATGTTAAGTTCGATCACCGGTGAAGCAATAAACATGCACTGTTGAAGATCCATATATTAAAACTAAACAACTATCAAATGCTCTCTAATATTCGACACTTGTCTAACTAGTGTTAGTTCGTAATGTAAACTATTTAAATTCAACACTCTCCATCAAAAATCAAACGATTAATCCTTTCATATGATTTTACATATTCATTCAATAGTTTTTGAGATGGTGTAAAAGATTTCTAGCTCAGGTGGGTGAATTTGATGAAGTTTTGTTCTCTGAGCCGGATGGTTTGGTCGTGGAGCTTTCATTGTCCTTCTGAACGACATCAACAGCACAAACTTCGGGTAGAAGTGAAGTGTTTGAATTTCTTCACATGTGATTCACAGCTTATCCTGTTGACCTTAGATCTGTCACTTCTACCCGAAGTTTGTGCTGATGATGTCGTTCAGTAGAACGATGAAAGCTCCACGACCAAATCATCCAGCTCAGAGAACAAAACTCCATCAAAATCATTTAATAGTTTATTCAAAGTTAGTAGAATGATAATTACAATAATTGTTCAGTGTGCACAAATAAACAAAATCAAAACAACCAAAAACAATATAAATATTAACTGTTAAATATATACATTCACTGATTATAACAACTAAAAAAGGTGAATTAGTGTTAGCTGCAAAGTCACCTAATCACCATTCAACAACCACAAAAAAAATAGTGACGACAAAACCACCAATAATGACGAGGATATAAGAATAGTCATTGACAGTATAGAATGAAGAATTTGAACTATACATATATATGGACATGTATATTTACTTCATACCTATTTCCAATTGTCGTTTGATACGAGCTTTATTAGCATCACGAAAATCAATTTGAGTTTTATTATAATCGGTCATAGCAGCCATGAATAATTTAATGTTGGCAAAATGCTATTTGAAATTTAGGAGAATAAGTTAGTAGTATATGAATAGACTAATTAGATTTTAATTTGATCTAATAGTTTGTATATGAAAGAAATGATACACTTTCTTATTTTAATTAGAATTGATACATACAAAGTAAAAACTAATAATATAGTTTCAATTCACTTAGTATTCTTTGTTTGAATCTTCCCATTGATGTTTAGGACTACAACTGGTCAGTCTCTTATTGACATATGTGCATACTGTGCATATTGCCTCGATATAGCCTTATTTCAAAAGCATTATAAGCAAAGATGGATAGTGGTTAGTAGTGGAATCCAGGACGCGCGATGGCGTTTGAAGCGAAAGGTACTGGGTTCAAGTCCCAGAGTGAACATCAACTCTGTGATGAAGGTACATCCAGCTCACGAGTCCCAAATAGGAGGGAACGTGCGTCAAACTGGATTCCACTGCTAGCCACTATTCATCTTTGCTTATAATAATATAGTTTGACTAATGGTTGATACAATGAATTAAGTTAATCTGCTGAAACTCTTTTTTCTTATAAAGTTTGAAGTTTATGTAACCGACTTTGACGGAATACTTTTCTTATGAAGGGTAGGGATACTATCAGGCTTAGGCTTATCAAGCCAAATAAGTTGAGGACATGCGAGTGAATCGGTAACCTAATTGCTACGACTTAAGTGCTTTAATTAGTGAACCATGGTTTTCGAATTATTGGAATAAATAGTGCTCTCTGGTTGTGAGAATGAGTCACTAGATAGAGAGAATGTTAGCAAGGAGAAATTAGTGTATATATAAAATGTACATCTAGCCTTCAGTTATCCAAAAGTTTAAATTAGTAACCGACAAGATGACAATGATGATACAGTTAAAGTACAAGATTACTATTCTGTCAACTACATTTTCATTTCTGTTTCTTATCAAGTGTTTAGTTTTAAATATACGAACACAGGTGGAGTTGTTCATGACACTAAGAGCTGCTCAATAACTGGAACTACGTGTATTGAAAGATAATTTTGAGATACGACAGGAAAATTTTGGTTAAAAGGGGTTTGCATTATCACAAGTAAACATCATGTTTAGATTTCGTCAAGAAGTCATTCAGTTACTTAACACATAACTGAACGAATACAGAAGAGATCAACAGTGATTAATTATTGATTTGTGTACCAGGTTATGAGAAGTACATTGACTATGTGAAATACATAAAACAATATAATGGTTCTCGATTTTGGAGGCGTTATCTAAACTTAACCAGGTCGTTGATTTACATCTATACTAGTAGTCATTGCGTTAAATAACATGTAACCTCATGTGTACCCATTACTATTAAGTATATTATAAGACTAGGGATATAACTAGTGATTACTGTAATTTTTAGTTTTTGATTCATACTTTAATTGATGTTCATTCATGACGGAAACTTTCGTTTAAAAAAGATAGTTAAAAGAAGTTGCCTATATTTATTACATGCAGTACCATTCGACTTTATTAAAATGCTTTAAAATTCCCCTAAAACAATCCTGATAAGCATTCATATCGATATATGAACTAGAATGGAATTATATACCATTCTATTCATCAGAACTAAGGATTGTATTCCCTGTTAGTTACCTGATCCAAGAATGTATCAAAGGAAAAACTGTTGTTTTCGGGCAACTTAATGAGTACCTATCAGTTTACTTGCTTTCGTACGACATGTATTGGTCGCACAAAGCATGCTCCTTGCAAATGCACATCCGGACGCTGCGAGATATGATACTTCAATGAAGAATGCAAATCAGTAAATAGTTCTATGATCAACATAGCAGTTTGTGGAGGTTATTGAATTTCATAGTATGCATCAGGAAATGACCCAATTTAGATAACCGGTGAAAACTGGAAAACACTGAACAGCTGTTTTAGCATATTAAAGAATCCTTAGCAATGGGTATCCATAGCGTCATCGGGGCTGGAACCCAGAGCCTCCAGGTCTCGAGGTGAGCACATTTAGAACAGTGAGCCGGCATCTAATGATTTACATTTCTAACTTCAATTAATTCGTGATTTTGTACAACTATCTTTTAATACTTTAAATAGCTAATTGTCTACGGTCAATCTATGATATAAACTATGAAACTTAACAATCTCCGCAAACCCCCATACCGATCATTACCATGTGCTTCTTAACGAATAATCTTGAAAGTTAATACCTATTGTTTTAATGATAACTAGCGGCCAGTGGAAAACGACCGGTCAATATCACAGATTGACTGGTGTTAGAAATGTAAACCAGTGAAAGTAAACTCAGTGATCTAAAGGTCAACTGCTGTCCACGAGATCTGAAGTTTCTGGGCTCGACGAAAGCTACCACTTTGGACATTGTCTCATTAATTCGAAATCCTGATTTATTCTATTATTATAAGCTCTCGCTTAATGTATGAACTATTGCCAGATTCTTTACTATTTCAAAATTACTGTGATTTAAACGTGACCCTTTGTATTACATCTTTTTATTCTAATTTCTTAAGTGAATAGACTCGTATTTTTCTCAATCTTTGGGCGTTGTTGTCTTGTTGACTATATATTTGTTCGTGTATCTATTATAAGTTAGTAGAATCATGACTAAACCGTATATACAGTACCAGCTAGATCATCGCTCACTCCAATTGTCAACCTCCCAGGTCATAGGTCAATGGTAAGATAGTTTTCCTCTCTCCGTTCTCAAGGTCATCCAGTTACAAACAGGACTCATATGTTACAAGCCTAAAGGTTGTATCATGTAACCTATCACACTAAGGTAGTAAACTAGATCAAGACAAATCTCTCTTACCTTGCATGTTAAGTACAGAATAGTGGGCAGAAGAAACAATGAAGATAGCGCTATGTAGTAAAATAACCGTAAATATGACTGATATAGAACAGATGAAATGTAGTTAGTAGTAAAATCCAGGATACGCGCTTCATTTCATTTCCAACTTGAGGCTGGCTATCATAAAACGACTGTAAAAATTTGATAAATCAAAATCTCAAAAAGTAATATTCTCTTCACCCTGAATATTTCCTATTTTCCTGAACAATATACTACTTAAATAGAATAACAATGAATGTATTCACAAATTATACCATTCCTTCATTTACCTGAGTTTTACGAATACGTAAATCAGCAGATGTAGCATCATTAGCTTCTTGTTCTCTGATTGTTTGTTCCAATGCTGTTTGGAAATTTGTAATAAATAAATAATTGATAATAAAACGGTTTAAGAGGATAATTTGAAAAATTAAGTAATTTAGAAACTTCGCTTTGGGCCACATCGATGTGTATCTATAAATATACTTGCTCATGTGGGGCGCGTTACTTATGCCTCACAAAGCGATCGCTTTCCTAACGTATCTCGGAACACTATCCGGTTCGGCTCCTAAGAGGAGAATTTAAAAAGATAACTAGCTCGATACAAGAGCATTTGATCAACTGTTGACACATTGCTCCAAAAGACTCGTCTTTTAAAGTAATCTATAGAGTCAAAGGAACCGGATCAAAGGGGGGTCGAGTCAATATTTCATGCACTGCTGAGGCATTGGCAATCCATGAACTCAAGCCTGAACTTTACGTGCAGAAACGATTTGTCCAACCTCTCACCCTCCCTTGGCCCTAATTCCCTTGATGGGTATGTTTTTGGTTGTTTTTTTTCTTTTCTGCACTTTTATTTGGTTATTATCGGCTTTTTTTAAACTACTATTTTACATTTTAAACTCTAATCAGTCATTATTATTACCTGATTATTATTCAGTTCATTATTATGACCTTTGTGTTTGTCGCTCTTCTTCATATCTGTTAATTGAACTATTATCTGACCCATAAATTATTTTCTTCCTTAACCCTTGATTAGTACGTAACCTCATTTGTTATTTATTGTCGAATCAATGCAACCTTTTCTAGCCTCCTGTAGACACATATTTTCCATATTACTATATATACGAATGTACAGCTTAAGTAAATGATTTCGTCGAAAAGAAAATTTTCTTCGCTGAATTCTCTTTTTCTTAGAAACTTCTAACAATAGAAAGTCTATTTCTATCTAATTATATAAATGAGATCAAAGTTATAAACTGTCGAAATTGAAGTGTAGTGTAGTTTACAATTTTTAACTAAAAAATTACGAGTTGAATGCTAAGTCATCCGGTATCAATAAGGACTTGTTTTTATCGTACATGGATTGGTCTAAGTTCTTATTTTAAGCACATTTTTCGTCATTGTCTAGAATTGGAATCTAAGACATATTTTACTCAATCTAGGATTTATAAACTGGATTACCTACTTTCCAGTGTTGATGGGTAGGCAAATCTGAAATTGGTATTGATCTATTCAATGAAGACGATAGCCCACTGCAAGCTCCGATTTGACCACATGTGTTCGAACATAGAACATTTAAAAGCTTCACAAATATTCTGAGGACACCTCCCGGCAAATAAACATTATTAAAAAGCCTCTAGGCTAACGATGTCAAATGTTGCCTTAAGGTCAATGAATATGACTACAGTTGGGGGTTAGTATGTGTTGGGTATATATATATATATAATCAGTACGAGATGGATGTTTATTTCTCCCTGGTTTCAACTGTTTTTTTTTAAAAATTGATTTCAATCCGTAATGAAAATTACTTTTAAACAATGTACTAATATTGTGTTTAGTTTCTATGTTGTTCAGTTATGTAACGAGGGAATATTTAAATGTTTTACAGTAGATCGATGGTTACGACACCTACATTTTTCAAAATGAGAACTCAGAAGACACATGAGAGACAATTTATTTTACTTATTTAAACACAAATATTTGTACAAAGGGGCACCAGATATATATGCGCCGCACAAATCTCATTTAATGTGTATGAAGGCTATGATACTGCACAGGTGCCCAAACCGAAGCAGGTGGTTTTCTTAAGGGGCCACACCCCGAGCCTTTGATCTAAAGGTCTAACCCACAAGGCAGTGGAACATCGTGAGGAGATGCAGTCCCATGGTAGCCGGTGAACAACAATTGGTTCATATGCCATTTGTTCCCTCAGGATACTGGAGCCAGCCTATGTACACCATTGGTTTGGAATCAGTGTTTCCAACTCCCGTAGGTGGACTTTCCATGTCCACCAACCCGGTTAAAGCGCCAGACATTCGCTTTTTGTTCTCTCAATTTCGTAAACAACAGTAATGCCACGAGAAGGCAATGAATAGGACTTCCCTGGCAGAGGCTATATACGCGTGGCCATATGAGAGCATTTCGAGAGGGAGAGCGTACTCTCCCCACTCTCGGCCGTACCAGGGCATCTGGGGGCAATAATAATCATAAATAAACCCTAACACAATTCATGCAACATTTCTTCTACTTTCAGACTTGAATAGATTAGTTTATAAGGAGAATATAGAATAAAAGTAATCTTGGTGTTACTATTATTTAGTCATTATATATATATATATATATATATATATATATATATATATATATATATATTGCTCTTGATTCTCACTTTTTATAAACCTTGTTCATTATAAGAAAAATCAATTTATTTTTTTGTTACAAGTAGCACAACACTTGAAACTGTCTTATTTTTAACTTTGAGAACAAAAAAAAGAAAGTACGTAAAATACTTATGGAAAGTGTCTCCACAAGTGGTTACACATTTATTGAAATAACCGTAGAAATAAGTGGTATTCACCTACTATATACATATGAAATCTAGTTATAATTTAAAGAACAGGTAAGTTGATTGCTATACAGCCCTTTATTGAGAACATCTGTTGTCTAGAAGCGATATTTTATAAGTCAATCAATAAAACTATTCAAAATCTAATCATGGTGTACCAGAAGTCGTTCAGGTCTACAGTTCTAAAACGTTTCACTAGTAGGAATTCATAAATCATCATCATCATAGAAAAAAGACCACTATTATCCCAAAGAGAAAGTGAGTTGAAATTCGGAATTATGCGTGATAACACCAACACGTGATACAGTACAGTTTATAGTCCATATAGGAAGTTTTGTTTGGTCAGTGACCCTAGTGAACTTATAAACATTAAATGAGCGTCTTCTAAATTTTCTACCAACGTATTTTACTTTTATCGATAAGTTCGAACGATATTCAAAATGTTTCACACAACTGCAGTACTTCGATCGAATTGAAAGAGATTATTTTTATTAATTAGTCTGTCAGTAACAGACTTTATCAATTTAGAACGGATCTTATATCATCAAGGATATTCTTATGACATAAATTGTGTAGTTTTTAATGAAAAATTGAGTAGAATTACAGTTTCATGATTGAACGAGTCAAACCTAAAGGAATGTTAACATAGATAGTCAATGAAAAATTATCTGATGAAGTGAATCTTTATCGACTGAGGTAGTTAGAACATGTACTACATAAGCCCAACAAACCTCTGTCTCGACGCACCATGTTGGTTAGGGTAGCAATAGATTGGATTAAGACTATGGATGGTCAAAATACGACGTGACATCAGTCTATGAAGTCAAAAACTGTGGGATTGGGTTGTGTAAGTAGGTGTAGACTACTACTTTGAGGCCCGTTTGATTACAGAGACCCAATAGCTGGGGATGTTAGGTTACATGACTCAAAACCTGGTGTCGTTGCTTAGATCAAAATTTTTAAAACCACTTTATGACTTTTATACTGCAAATTTTCTTCAGAACCACATTTTTTGTGTGATATGTCCGGTAAGAGTGGACTGTGATTAAGTAACGATTGCAAACAGACAAATATATGCAAATTGTAATATGTACCTTCCTACCCCTTTGTATTTGTTAGAATATAATTTCGTTCGGGTATATATCGTGCTATTGATCAGTTTTTAGATTAAGCGTAAGACAGCAATTATGTGATTAAGTATTTAGTATCACAAGCGAACAAGCAAGCGTCCGACATTATGAAAATAATTTGTTCTAAAAACTGAACACCCTAAAACTAGGTCTAGTGTTTTTCACCAAGTACCTTCAAAATATTTATGATGGATGAAAAATGTAGTCATAACAGATGAACTGATAAGAGAAATGAACGAATACTTAATGGAAGATACTGATGGTTAAAATGTATTCTTTTTAAATATAAATTTTGGGTAGCTACAATTAGAATGTATATTGAAAAGAGATATTTGTTTTAATTTTATACAAGTGATCATATGTTATGTCCCGATAACAATAATGAATGGTAACTTGGAGATCCATTTATGGACCAATATTACGCATATAATTTTTGTCGTATATTTACTAAATAACTAAACTATTCATATTCATGCCCCCCTTATTATAAGCTTTATTTTGACCTATAGACTATTATTATCCGATTTACCATTCTTGAGTTATCCCTAGTCTATTGATTACTGACTTCCACATTCACAACCACATTTGACTGAATCTTGTACAAATGTTATTTTCTATTTTATTGGTGAGATGCGGTTTGTCTGTTTGGTATGTAAACTCAATATGTTTAAAATACAATGATTTATACAGTAGAGGCTGTTCTGAACTTAACTGGCTGGGCTAGGCAGAAGAAGGACCGATAAGTACTCTAGACTGTTAGTACGGTTTTCGTGTATCACTGTTCCAATTGATAATTCGATGCTCTCTGATTGGCGGTATTATCGCGTCATACATTAACTGGGCATCCACTCGGCCACAAGTTATAACATCATAAAAATACTTTACTGAAACAAAATTCATAGTATTGAATATAGATGATTATTATTATTACTACTATTGTTGTTATTACCACTGTTATTATTACTATTATTATGTTGATAGTTGAGATCATGAATCAATTGAAGCTAGACCATCATGGAAAACCTAGAAGCACTGCTTGACGGCCGTCTCATCCTATTATGGGATTCCTCAGCGCTGTGCATCCACGATTCCGCCTCGCGAGATTTCAACCCAGGACCTATCAGTTTCGCGCGCGAGCGCTTAACCACTAGACCACTGAGCCGGCATCCAACGGTGTTAATGTCTAACTTCGACCAATCCACGAAATTGAGCGACACATCCACCAATGTCTTCAGTAAGTTATTATCTCACAACAGACCTGGTGGAACTCCACTGGTCACTGCTTCTCACTAGAACTCCAAGAAATACCTCATGGAGCCAGTCACTAGTGAGCATATGATTATTATTATTGTTATTATTATTATTATCACTGTAATTCGGTTCGCTAGAAATTAATAAAGTTTAAAATAAATCACAGAGAAGAGATAAATACAAATAAATGAAGAAAAAAAGCATATATGTATACACACTTACATTTTAGCTTAAGTCGAATTTCTTTAGCTGAACGTGTAATACTTTCATTTAATTCTTCTAGTTGTGTTTTCGTTTCTATGGATTAAAAGCAAAAGAATAAAGAAAAATGGTGAAATATTATAAGAAATGACAATTATTACTGATTCATATACTCAATAGATATCCTTAGAAAATGATAATAGAAGAGAACAAGGTTAAGATGTTTATAAAATTAGTGATTTGAATTAAAAGATGGGCAATAACTATAATTCATGGACGAACCAATCAAATATAAGACAACAGGTCATAGATTTCGAAGTCAAATTCATTTATTTATTTGACTAAATAGACTTTTGACATTTTAGTTGATATTAGTTCGTGATGAAAACCCTAAATCTAATTCCTAACCTTAACCATTAACTGTATACCATAATTTTAATTCCTTACACTGTTTTGTAACCTCTATTTAGTTCCAATTAGTAAGTGGACGATATTAAGGTAACTTCAGTATCGCTTAAAGGTCGTCCCCAAATGCCCTGGTACGACCGAGAGTGGGGAGAGTACGCTCTCCCTCTCGAAATGCTCTCATATGGCCACGCGTATATAGCCTCTGCCAGGGAAGTCCTAATCACTGCCTTCTCGTGGCATTACTGTTGTTTACGAAATTGAGAGGACAAAAAGCGAATGTCTGGCGCTTTAACCGGGTTGGTGGACATGGAAAGTCCACCTACGGGAGTTGGAAACACTGATTCCAAACCAATGGTGTACATAGGCTGGCTCCAGTATCCTGAGGGAACAAATGGCATATGAACCAATTGTTGTTCACCGGCTACCATGGGACTGCATCTCCTCACGATGTTCCACTGCCTTGTGGGTTAGACCTTTAGATCAAAGGCTCGGGGTGTGGCCCCCTAAGAAAACCACCTGCTTCGGTTTGGGCACACGGGCATAATCACAGCCTTCGCGCAAACATATGAAATAACGTTTTCTGCTCACGATGCTTTTCTCGTCCATTAATTATAGTCTCATTGAGACAGATTATGAAGAAATGAGTTTGTAGTCAGTTGAATCCGTATGGTTCATATATAAATATACATGTTAAATAAAGTACAGTGAATGAACATTTGACTATCATTAATTCACAGAATACTAATAAGTGTACTACTTTCCATGGTTATTCTTTATTAACTGTTCATACAGACTAGTAGAACATGGTTACTATCACGATTATCTTATTTCTAGTTTATAAATGCGCAGATTTCGAGATTATCAAACTTTTATTCATCAATTTTAGTTTGATTGTTTTCTACATTAGAAAACATTGTATGTCAAATGACAAGGAAGATAAAATGATGATTATTGTTACTAGTCCATTTACCATGTGCAGATTTATGTAATTAGCTTTTAGTTGCACTCTAACTGTAAGGACTAATGATACTACCCGATTGCTGAAATCTAAGCAGGTGAAACAGGCTTTGAACCTGGGAATTAGTGAATAACACAAATTAATCAAGAAAAATTCGACTTGAAAATAAACTTATTTTGAGCTATACAGTTGGCGCATGTGATCAATGAAACTAAGAAATGATCAGCCATTGAGCCAAGGATAGGTTGACAAACAGATAATCCGTTTAGTAACTTTTTTAATACGTGAATTCATTTCTGTTATTGTTTTCTACTTCAGACTTCATTAATTACAAACTGCTTGCTATTATGTTAAATAAAGTATGCGCTAGTTTTCTAGATTTCATTGAGTCTTGTATCTGGTATATTGTAACCACAGTTTGTGTATAGCATATTGATTGAGTATCCAGTCAGTTTAGTGGTGACATAATATCAAGCAAAGGCTATATTATAATATCATATCATGATAGACAAAAGCATTCTTACTTTGCTATTATATCAAAAGGTGAATAAAAAAACAACCTCCAGAAAATATTAATCAAGACAGAAAGTAATACATCGTCTTCCTGTAAAAAGTGATCATAGTTTCTAAGTATGTTTACCGTTGTCTAACAAATGCTATGATAGATGGAAACCAGTAATTTTCATACATATCTATCATGATAATAACTCAGATACATTTGACGGAACACCAAATAGTTAAGCACAGAATACTACTTCTATTATTAATACAATTTTTGTGTAATTTTTAAAGAAAAAACGTATAACGTGAAATGTCCGTTACAATGTAGAAACAATTTCTCACCCTAAAATTAATCAGCACTATAGAGGTTATCGATCTTGTTTCTGTTTTAATAATAGAACAGTATAAAAACGTAATTATCTTACTAAATCAAATAACCCACTCTATTGTCTGCATTTATAAAAAAGTAGTTCGTTAGGCGGATTTACAGAGACTACGTTAATGTTGATGGAGTTTTGTTCTTTGAGCTGGATGGTGTGTTCGTGGAGCTTTCATCGTCCTTCTGAACGACATAAACAGCACAAACTTTGGGTAGAACACTTCACTTCTACCCGAAGTTTGTGCTGATGATGTCGTTCAGAAGGACGATGAAAGCTCCACGAACACACCATCCAGCTCAAAGAACAAAACTCCATCAAAATCTCCTACCTGAGCTACAAATCTTCTCCACTACGTTAATGTATAATTCGTTTTCATTATGAAGTAATATCAATCAAGGAACGATTGGAGACCGAAAGAGTACAGGACTAATTAACAGTTTAAACAGACGAAAGTGAACTGAGAAATCATAGACTATTACATTTTGATAGTCTGATATAATGTGCGATTGATTATACTCACAGCTAATGATCCCGAACACAGAAGAAACAGGTGTTTATTAACAGTTGTCTACGCAAGATACTGCGGATCCATTGGTCAGACACTATCAGCAACATTCTACTGTGGAAGAGAACAAACCACATTTCAGTGGAGGAAGAAATCAGGAAGAAACGCTGGAAGTGGATAGGACACACATTGAGGAAATCATCCAACTACGTCACAAGGCAAGCCCTCACATGGAATCCAGAAAGTCAAAGGAGAAGAGGAAGATCAAAGAACACATTACGCCGAGAAATGGAGACAGATATGAGAAGAATGAACAAAAACTGGATAGAGCTAGAAAGGAAGGCTCAGGACAGAGTGAGTTGGAGAATGCTGGTCGGCAGCCTATGCTCCATTGGGAGTAACAAGCGAAAGTAATGAACCTAAACTCATACAAAAATATAGTGTTGAAGCTCATTTGCGGTGATTTTTTGACTAACATCAGTTGTGGTCGTAAATAATCTACAAATTGCAATGTGTTATTTGAATTGATCCTTTATGCCTGTTTACCTAACTTAAGTTATTGATTTTTATTTAACCGCTAAGCACTTCTAAACTGGTTTTAATACCAGTTTTGAGACTACTATAAAGTTTTAAACAGTTTTTCTGCTTTTATTATCAAGAAAGTAAGAAAGTAAGCATCATTTTACAAATAAAATTCCTGCATTTTTATGTTATACGTATTACAAAAATCTAGATTCCGTCTTTTTCTAAATGGTTTTTGATGAGCTGTTACTAACTGACTGACTGACCTTCCTAATGAATGTTAATTTGTTGTGTTATTCTTATTTTTCTTGTAAGAGACCCATATTCCTTTTTCTATTATTACATGAATTAGTATAAGCATGGTCGCCACATAAGGGTAATATTGTAGCAGTAGTACAAAAGTAAGCGTATAAATCTCCGCTAGCTAGAAAGGAATATATTAAAGGGTTAATAACTCATTTAATCATTAACATACATATGGTAGTATTATTCTGTGATCAAAATGATCTTTACCTCTAATGAATTAATACGACTGAAGATGATTTGAATCGTAAAAGCTTATCAAAGAGAGTTCCATTATTTTAAGCGATTTACATGATAGAGAGAAATCTAGTTTTTTTTAATAGTCCTACTCTTATTTTAATACTATTTAGATGCAAATTTGATCTGTATGTACGACAAACAATTACGTATACTTTAATCTTATCATGTCTTTGGAAAATATATTGGTAGAAATTGTGAACAATATACAATTATTTCGAAAAAGCTCAGTAAATGGATATCACCTGATTTACACATATGAAAGAAATTAGATTGACATGTACCATAGATTTGTATAATCTTTTTGCTTGTAAATGGAGTTTAATTTGATAAAAATATACTTGCTGAAACACAAAACAGTATTTCCTCAATCAATAAAAGAAACGAGTATAACTTCGACTTAATGATCACCGTCAACAAATATTTCTGGTTCTCAAATTTGAATAGTTTATTTATTTGTTTGAACATATAAGCATTGGTAGAAGGAGGCACCAACTACATATGCTCCACATAACAACAATGAGACCAGTAGTAGTTATCATTGATTTTTGTGAGGGTTGTGATACTGCCTAGGCACCCAAACCGAGGCAGATGGTTTTCTTAGGGGACCACACCTAGAGCCTTTGACCTGAAGTTTTAATCTATAAGGCAGTATAACAATGTTAGGAGATGAAGTCTTATGGTAGCTAGTGACCAACAACAGGTCCATACGCCATTTGTTTCATCAGGGTTCTAAAGCTCATGTGCACCATTCGTTTGGAATCAGAGTTTTCCAACCCTCTCAGGTAGATTCTTTGTATCCACTAATCCGGTTAAACCGCTGGACATTCGCTTTTGGTCCTCTCAATTTTGTAAACAACAGTGAGTAGGACTTCCCTGGCAGTGGCTGTACATGCGTGACCATGTGAGGGCATTTCGAGGAGAGTGAATTCTCGCTACCCGCATCCGCACCAGGTCGTTTTGGGGCATAATTTGGACCTCTACGATTGGACTTACCTACATATCAGTGTTAATGCTCCCAGTTACACATAAACCCAACATCTTTCGCTCCAAATGTTAACGCATTATTTACTGACCAATTGATTCCAGGTAGCCAACAGTTTGCGCAACGTGTATGGGTCTTCTTTGCAAAGGCTTGTAGTTTTCCGTTGCTGATGTGTTAAGGACCGCAACTGATTAGTCTGTTTTAGCACGTCTGCACCCTGGGAGGATCCCCTCAGTATTGCCATCTAGTCACAAAATCGTCATTCAAGATGAATAGTGGCTAACAGTGAAAAATAAA